TCTCTACAGTACCTATCAATGAAAGTGTTTACTATGGACTCCAAAGTAGAGGCTATTTCTTTCTTAAGAGAGAAGAACCATTGTTGGCAAACGGTTTTAAGAGATACAGAAAACATAGAGGGAAATACCTTCTTGTCAATACCCTTGATGCTCATTATTGTTTCAAAAGCTCTTAATTGAAAGTAAGGGTTGTCAGTTGCTTTGAATTTCAGGATGTCATTGGCAATGAACTTCTGCGAAAGAAGATCCTTGTCCACCGAGACCCCTTGTGAGCTAATGCCTTGAAACTTGTAGTCACTAGACAGCTTGCTCAAATTTTCTTGCATGAGGTCCATCTGTTGTTGCTTCACAGGATCATCGATTTTGAGGGTTAAAACCTTCAACGCCTCAGTCACAGTAATCAGTTGGTTCTTGAGTTCAGTAACTTCCTCTTGAGTTGCCATTATCTTCTTAGCTTTCTTTTTCGAGCGATTAGTTTTTCGAGTAGTTGAACTTGAATAAAAAGGTTGTCTTTGATCAAACACCCTTCCTTTCTTGACCACGCGCTGTAAATTAAACCATTGTGTTTTTTGACTTGACTCAAATTGACTATGACTTTACGGGTTTTGGAAAAGAAAAAAGCAAAAATATATTTGGCGAAAATAAGGGATATATTTTTGGGAATTAAGTATAGGGTTCAATCAAGCGGTTTAATTGGAGGATTACTATCCAAATTACCCCCCTAAAAAAATGACGGATAATACGCGCATACAAGACTCTCTTAGATATAGTTAAAGTGTGTATACATATTAGTGTGTGCTTTATATAGTGAGTGCAAGTGACATGCTTTGACTCTTGTGTAAGACCATGGGACTTAGTGCGTAGACTCGATTAATGACTTGACAAGGTATTATCATTAGTAGAATTAATCGAATTAATTAGCAAACTATTCAATTAAACACAAAGTGATGACTCGAACAATAAACCAAACTGTCGCCAAAACGACAAGACTGGCGCCTCTCTTTGCAGTGTAGCGCCAGACGAAAGGACTGTCGCCAAGCGTTACGATCCACAGAGTAGCGCTACAGTTTAAATCTCAGCGCCATTGATGGAACATCGATCTGGAACTTCTTTCGGTATTATTACTCTACAGGGTATGCCTAAAGTCGTACTAAGTCAACTGATTAAATTATTAGACTTTAAATACTCAAAGTAATTAATTAATTAATTAATTATGAAAAGTTCTTTTAGTCATTAATCAGTTTTTTAGTCTTAACACAAGTCAAACAAACGGTTAGGAAAAACACATAGAGTAGCACAACAAATAATGCACAATTAGTCAAGTATGCACAACATGATGCAATGAGTTTGGGTTAGTCAAAGAGGGTCCATGGTTAATTTTCCTAATGCACCGCGCAGAAGCCTAACCGTGAAGGGTTGGCGCGAATGGATGGGAAACCGCAAATTTAAACAAAAACTCGCTTCCATGGTTTGGTGAATTCAACATTCTCTGATATACCCTTTGTTGTTCGGAGCGTTCAATCAGGTAGATGGAGCATAAATTCCCAGAGGGTTATGTCCATATGTAGAACACATATGGGTTTCCAAAAAGTGAGAAAAACTCAATCAAGAAGTAGGATCGAACAAATAGTGCTAAAAACTAGTGAAAATTAGAACGCATATTTCTGGCTCGGTATTGGAAGAACTAGGCGCCAGCGAACAGAGGCCGGGCCACAATTTGGCTTTAGCGCCTAGCGACTGAAGCTGTCGCCTGGCGCCAGAGTCAAATTAGTGCGCTAGACTCTATTTTCTGACACTAGTTCCTACATGCCTCACCAGCTTTCTGTGCTCGATAAAATTTTCTAGTTTCGCACAACATTATTTAGATCCTAGTTGTGAAAGATATTCCTCAAATTTCCTACGTGTAAATATCCTATGTTTTAACTCATTACATAGGTCTTTCCAATGAGATCTTTTTTATGCATATGACAATAATGTTAATCAAAATTAGGCACATGAAATACTTAGAACTTTTCGAGTCTCATCCACTCATTCTATATTATCGCCAAAAAATGTAGGGAATATTTCAAGCATTATCCCTAGCTTGACCCCACTGTGATCATACAAGAAAGTATGGTGGCGTCCAAAGGGAAAGAAGATAGAGCAAAAGATTCACCAACAAGTTTTAGGAACTTGTAAACCGTTCACGAGATGAAGGTTACACCCCTTAACGATCCAGGAGATTGTCAACTCCAATAGGTCTGGAACCATGACTGGTAGTTCGGGGATGAGAGTACAAATCCAACCTAAAAGAGATTAAACCTGCCCTAACAATAGGCCTCTACTTTATTCTGATCGTCTTCATGTGCGCATTCTGACTAACATATAATCATTAGGTTTACCCTAAACCTGTTTATCTATGTTGGTTGAATATTAATTCACAAATAAATCTATTATTGGCGATCACTTGAATTATAATCAAATTAACCATAAACAAGATTATTAATTATCTTATTAAGCGAGATTACAAGTACAAATTCCTTTTAAACATGCATAAAAGGCGTGATCAAGCAATAACAATAAAAATCAAGCAACATAATAAATCAAAATAATAATCATCATAATAATAATTATCATAATAATAATTATCATAATAATAATAATTAAAATAATCATGATTAAAATAACGGCTATTTCACCAAATGCCACTAACAAATTTAAAAATTCATCAAATGCCATTGCACTTTACAGAATTCACCAAATGCCACTCACAAACAGTAAATTGTCATGTCGTGCCATTAATGAGGTCTGGACGTTAACAGTCCGTTATTGCGTAATGACCATTATACCCTTATTTGGGGTTAATGGCGCGTGAATGCTCATTGACTCTCTAACTTCTTCAATTTAGATAAAAAAAAACTTCATCATTCTTCTTCTCTGTTCTTCAAACTTTCACCCTCATTCAAACTTTCAAATCCATATCAAACTAGAAGCTTTCGTTAACACTTGAACAAAACACTCCTAATAATTGAATCTTTTTTTGCGATTGAAGTTGCGCGAACCAGTAGACCTGTGACAAGTAGGGGAGGAAGTAGAAGCAAAAAGCTCTTGAATTTGAGTTTGGGGTGTTCGACATAGCAATCAAGGTAATAACTGCTCTTTCGCTTTTCCATCCGCGTTTTGAATCTGGCAATTTTTGCGAAAATTGAGTTAGGGTTAGGGTTTTTTGAAACGTTCATGTTAAATGTGATTACTTGAATTGACTTTGTGAATTAATGTTAAATTTCATATTAAAATTGTTATTTGTTGGTATTGATTTGACATTGTTATGTTTTGTGATTGTGAGGTCTTTGAATTCCATATTTCGCAATTTTGTGTAATGGTATGTTAGGGTTTGGTATGTGGTTGTTGATATGAATCATATGTGTTGATATGAATCATATATGTTGATGTTCAGTATAGTAATGTGTCTGTAATTTGTTGTTTATAGGATGAATAAAGTGTGGCTTGATGTCCATTATAGAGATCTAGGGTTTGATGTATTGGTTGATGATACTGACAGGACAAGTTTAATGGACTTGTATGAGTTTATGTTTGAGGACTCTGTTAAGCAAAATGTGATCCTTCCAAAGTACTTTAGTTTGTATGTACTACCACCTAGAACTAATAGGAAGTTGGAGTTGTGTTCTGATAGGGATATGCTGAAAATGTGGGAGTGGTTTGGACAAAAGGAAACAATAGTAATCTATTTAGAGGAAAAAGAAAGTCCGAGTCTAGTGTTTAAGGATGCTGGGGCTAATTGGCTGGCTGAGAAAGTCCTAATCTATTAAGGCCATGGCTGAGAAGGCTAGGTTAGAAGCTGAAAAGGCCCAGGCTAAGAGAGAGTTAGAGGAACTGGAACCTTTTACAGTTGCAGTTGAGGTTCCTGTTGCTAATGTGGATGGGGGTGAGGATGAGTATGTAAGAGTGTTTGAGACTCCATTAGCCGATGAGGTTTTTCCTGGGAAATCTCAGCCTGGGCCTGAGTAAAATACTCAACCATCTACCCCACCTAAACACTGTCAACCAACTTCTCCTCTCAACCAACCCAAAACCTCAGGTGTGAGGAAGAATATGACCCCAAGGAAAAGGAAGAGAACACCCAAAAAAAAGCCACCACCTCAAACCACCTCACCACCTCAAACCACCTCACCACCTCAAACCACCTCACCACCTCAAACAACATCACCGCCTCAAACAACCTCACCACCTCAAACTGACAACAAAAATTTTCAAACTGACTCACCACCTCATTCACCTGAAGCACCACATTCACCTGGACCACAACCAAGATCACCACCTCTTTCAGCTCACCAAGTAGAGTGACCTCCACCACAAACAAGATCAGAACCTGTTCCTCAGGCAGAATCAGTTCCAGCTCAAACTAATGTCAATCAAACATCAGAACCAGCTACTACTATGCCTGAGAAACCTAAAAAAATTGGTAGATCAAGGCCACCGGGATTTAGAACCAAAAAAAGCTGTGGAAAAGGGTTGCTGGGGGGAGTAATGATGAAGGTGTGAGCTTAAGGAGATCTGAAAGACACAAAAAGCCACCAGTTGGGGTTGAAAGTAGTGAGGATGAGAGCTCTGATGATGATGACAGTGAGGATTCAGATTACATTCAATCTGGCAGTAAACAATATGATGATAATTTGGATCTTGCTGACTTCATAGAAGATGAGGAAGAAGTACAATGTCTGTATGATGACATCCCACCCAAAAAATTTGAAGATTACCTTGATGAGACCCAAGCAATGGATAAGACATACAAGAATGGCAAGGTTTGAAGTGATTGTGAATTTGGAAGCATTAAACTGGAGCCATGGTTGATTTTTGCAGATAAAGAGTCATTCTACGAAGTGTTTAAGGATTTTTGTGTACAAGAAGGTTTTGGAGTTTTTGTTTAAAAGAGTGACCCTACCAGGTTTATATCAAGATGTGCTATAGATGGTTGCAACTGGAGAATCCATGCATCAACCATGGCTGACAAAGTGAGCTGGGCAATCAAGACATTGACAGGGAAGCATGCAACTTGTGGCAGGCTTGAGATAAATCCAATTGTTGGCTGTGATTGGCTTTGCAGACTTATGCAATCAGATATTCAAGCCAATCCAGACATTCCAGTTGAGTCTCTGCAAAGAATCTGTATGGAAAGGTACAAAATTCAAGTGAAGAAAAGGTTATTTTACAAGGTGAAAGCAATTGCCAAGGAGCTCATTCATGGTGGATTTGGAGAGGCCTACAATCTTTTTCCAAGATATGGTGAAATGGTCAAGCAGACCAATCCAGGGAGTTATGCACTAGTGACATGGACACAAGTACCTGCAAAGGTCCAACCTAGGAACAAATCATGCTTATTTTCTTTTGCTGCACAAGTTAGAGGTTTTTTGAGAGGCTGTAAGCCAATCATTGGCATTGATGGGGCCCATCTTAGTGGATATTATAAAGGGACACCACTAACAGCTGTTGGAATTGATGGGAACAATGAGATGTTTTCGTTTGCTTATGGCATAGTCAGTAAAGAGAGTGTTGAGACTTGGGGTTATTTTATGAGGAATTTAAAGTGCCTCTTTGAGAAAGAGGGATGCAACAGAGATTATTGGACATTTCTTTCTGACAGGATGAAGGTAAATCAGTCTCTTTAACATACACTTTTTTTCTTTTTTTTTATTACTTTACAGTACTGTTTCCTCACTTGATATATGGTTTTGCAGGGAGTTGATGCAGCAATTATGGAGACATTTTCCAGAGCTAATTGAAGAATATGCTGTCAACACTAGTACAGCAACTGCAAAACAAAAGGCTTTAGTAAAACAGCATTTCACAAACTGTTTTAGGTTGCTGATGATGCTTACAGTCCATTTGTTTTCAACAAAGCAATGGAGAAGATTCATCCCTACAATCCAAATGATGTTCTATATTTGGAGAGTACCACTGAAGTTTGATCAAGGCATAAGTTTGACCCAGTTGTCTATTGTGACCATAACACAACAAATTTTGTTGAATCATTCAACTCTTGCACCAAGCCATACAGAGATCTACCTGTGTTAAAGCTTCTTGAAGGTTAAACAAGCATTTTCTCATGTTTTATCACTTTGCAAATGCCATTTCAACCTAGCTGTGTGTAACTGGTTTTAATTTTGCAGCTATAAGGAAATGGTGCATGAAAAGGATGGCTTCAAGGTTTGGTAAAGCAACTTTAATGGGGGATGGGGAACTCACTGAGTATGCAACAAAGATCTTGCAAACAAGATCAGATGAGTCCAGGTTCTGCTATGCTACAGCATGTGGGGGTGATGAGTTTGAGGTGAGAGATGCACATGTGTACTATCCCATCAAACTAGGGGCGGGAACTTGTGGTTGTGGGAAGTGGAAACATTCAGGGATCCCATGTAAGCATGTGTTCAGGGTGATTTACCACCAAAGGCTGCAGGCTACAGATTTTGTATCACCTTATTTCAAAGGGAGGGCATACAAAAACACTTATGGAGAGCATATGAACCCAATGCCTGACCATACTCAGTGGCCTTCATTCAACCTCCCTGACATACTACCACCCTTAGTGAAAATATCAGCAGGCAGACCCAAGAAACAGAGAATAAGAGGGGCAAATAAAGCAAGAAAGGGAAAGAGACATAGTACAGTCAAGTGCTGCCTATGCAAAGAATTGAGCCACGACATGAAGACATCTGCAGCAAAGAAAAAGAGTGCAACCGCTGAAACAACAAGTGCAGAAAATAACAAGACTGAGCAGGCTGAAGCAACAACTGCAGCAATCAACAACAATGCAAAGGCTGAAGCAAGCACTTCAAAGACCGAGAAGAGATCAAAGAAAGCTACATAAACTCCACATCCCTGCCCTTTTGAATGCACATCATATTTGTTAATGAAATCCACATTTTTGAACATTAATATTCCACTGTGTGTTGTACCTAAGTGTTTTCTTTTTTGTGAAAAATTATGAATTATGTCAGCAAGGGCATTTTATTTTGAGATGAACAGAAAACAGTAGCCATAATTTTTTGGATGAACATGATTGCAACATGAATAATTATAATAGAAATGTTTAAATTAACACTTTATTTACTCTCATTGCAATTACATTGTTGTTCACTTCATCATTACAATCACAATTATTACACAGATAACAACTCCTACTTTTATAATAGAATTGAGAACTTTTTGTTGCTGCCTCACTTTCTTCTTCAATTGCTTCAATTCATCATACACATCGCTATGTCCCGATCCATCCCTATCATAACAATTTCCCCTACTTTGAGCTTCTTTCGGCTTGAGGACTTTACACCATTTGAAACTATTACACGAGTCGCACTTGTAATAAAGCCTTTGAGGATTTGATGTTGACTCCGAACTTCTAATTGCGTATTTCCGACCACAACCGCAAAACTTGTTTGGAACTCTTACATATGCATACTCGTATGTGGAGGAGAATGTGTTTGATAACAAACTCATGATTATGCATGTAAAGGGATGCAATGTGTGTTCTAAGTCTCATATTTATACAACAAAGTGGGTGCAACGGCTATTTTACCCCAACAATATTTCAAAAATGTTCAAATAAACTAGCCGTTAGTACTCATTTGATTAGAGGGTTACTGTGAAATAATTTACAAAAGTAATGACATTTCATGAAAATTACTAATTTGTAAATGGCTTTTTGTGAATTAAGAATCCTAGTAACAGACTGTTAACGTCCAGACCTCATTAATGGCACGACATGACATTTTACTGTTTGTGATTGGCATTTGGTGAATTCTGAAAAGTGCGATGACATTTGATGAATTTTTAAATTTGTTAGTGGCATGATACTAACAATATTAATAACACACCCTAGCATATCACTAAACAATAAAAATCGAAGCTTTAACCATAACATGATACTAACATGAATATTAGGAAGAGCATAGCAAGCATCACAGAAATCATAATAAGCATATATGATATTATAACTTTTACCCTAAACATGATACTAGGAAGATCAAAACGCCATAACATGACACTAGGAATCATAATAACAAACTAATCATGATTTCTGTATCATAATAACAATGAAAACAATTAAAGCACTTACTTGGAGGCCTCGTACCTCTTTCTAATAACAAAATACACGCGTTAGTAACTTCAAGGAAAATATAAACAATTAAATTAAATAAATAAAAGAGAGATTTGGGACCAAACTCTCCTAAATTAAAACCTTTCACGTCTAGGACGAAGGCAACTTCGAACTTGGCAAGGTGTTTCTTGGTCTTGTGGATGTAGAATTTTGTATGCAAAAGGGTTGGTTTAGAAAGAGAGAGAGAGAGAGAGAGAGAGAGATTCTTGAAGAGAGAGAATTAGAAAACAAGAGAGTTGATGATTGAAAACGAAGATTTTAGGAGGCTATTTATAGATAAAATCAGCCGGACGGATAGAAAAACAAATCAAAGTTTCGACGAGAATAAAACAGGTTAGCGCCAGGCGCTAATCCCTGTCCTCAGGCGCTAATCTTTAATTTCACGCGTTTTCTTAGTTTTGATAAAATATAGCCGTACAAAAGGGAAAAATCATATTTTCCTTAAAAACACTCTTTTATTCTGATTAAAACTCCAAAAAGTCAACCAAAGTCAATTTATCAATGCTAATTGAATTAGGAATGAAAAGAACCTTCTTGAAGAATCTAGAAGACTAAAATCAATTCTAATTGCATTAGGAATGATAAATTCATATTAGGTCCTCCTCTAGATCATTGGGCCGGATATAAATATTAAACCGGGCCCAGTTTAGTAATTTGGTCATAACTTCCTCATTATTCATCGAAATTGGGCTTATTATATATCGTTGGAAAGCTCTTTTCAAGCCCCATCCAACTACACCATTATTGGACCCTTGTTATGGAACAAACTAAACAAGATTGGCTGTTTTCTTAAAATAGGTTTTCAAAAACAAAGAGAAAGAAAAGAAATAAAAACTATCCGCAACACTTTACTTTCCACACTTTCACTTCATTCGATTATGATTCGACGCTAAAGGTACTCATCATTGGGTTTGGTTTTGGGGAGACATAAATGGGTGTCTACAGGCACATTTTGGACTTCGATTCTTCGGCCCAATCCAAATTTCCTCTTCGGGTCTTGAATACTCTGTCCAAATGCCTTAGAATTTCGAGTGTTAAGCCCTTAATCACCGGTTCAATGACTCTAACCGGCCTTGGGCTACAAAAACTGGTCGTGCTCCTCCAATGCTCGTAGATACTCCATAATATCTCGGGAAAATTCTCCAAAAGTGAAAATCCCTACAAAAGTCAACCAAATCTACAAAAAACACTAGAAAACACCAATTAGTAATAAAAGTGGCTCATAAAGATCCAAAAACACTACTAATTATGACCAAGGGATGGGGGAAAAACACTATATAAATTAGACACATCAAACTCCCTCAAGCCAAACCTTTGCTTGTCCTTAAGCAAAGATATCATCAATGAATAAATAAATATGCTTCACCCCAAAAAGTAAAAATCAAGCACAAACAATTCAAGGTAAATCTAATAAACATGCTTCAACATCAACCAATCTCATCCATCTAATTATTCTTCCTCCCTAACAATTGTCAAATAGAGCAAACCACAAGAGCATATAGAATTCAAGACTAGTGCTTACACACTCAACTCTCATTTATGTGGCGAGTAAAAGATGTAATTGATCGCTCTCCAACCAACCCCTTTAACGTGAACAATGCCCTCCCAACTCACACTATCGTGTGTTTAAAAAGATATACACTCAACCTACTAGTCGACTTGAAATATGTCAAATCATAACTTGCATTGATAAACAACACTTTCACATTCATACAACTCTATGCACAACGGTCGGAAGGTCTTTAAAGCTTGTAATGTAAGGCTAAGGTAAAGGGTAGGACATATTTGGGAAAATGTGAGAGAAAAACAATGCTCAAGGGAGCAAATCCTAATAACACTAAGGTCAAAAATAAATGATGACCAATCATCTCCAACATACTCAACTCCAACAAATGTTCACAAAATACAACATAAACAAAAATCCAACACTTACAAATTTTACTCATGAAGATATAAAAATGTAACACTTGAGCGAATAACAAACTTTAACTCTTCAAACTTGATTTTTTTCATTGAAACTCTATTTTTGTCTTTCTTTCTTTTGGCCAACCTTCACATAGAACACTTGAACTTTATTTTTTCATTGAAGTTCACTTATTTTTTTGACTTTTTTTTTCAAACTTCTCCTTTTTTTCATACCATCATACTTTATTTTTTCAAGAAAAATCAACTTAATTTCAAACTCATCAAAAATAAACTATGATCAAGAACATCATAACTTCCCAAAGCCCACCCAAATTGTGCAAATAAAAAGAACACTATAAACTCCCTCGCCTCACTCACTAATAGCTCCCCCAAGCCAAGCTTAGGACTAGTAACCAATGGGGCAAATATGGCTTGTAACGTGGCTAATAAACAACAAAAAGTCAAGGCAACAACATGGGTAGTGTAGACATCCATTTGTATCTCCCCAAAACCAAATCCAGTGATGAGTACCTTTCACGTCGAACCATAATCGAATGAAACAAAAGTGTGGAAAGGTCTAGTGTTGCGGAAAGTTTTAATTTCTTTTCTCTTCTCTCTGTTTTTAAAACTTTAATTTTAGAAAACAGCCCATCCAGTTTGGTTGGTCCATGATATGGGTTCAATAGTAGTGTAGTTGGATAGGGCTTGCAAAGACCTTTC